GTCCTCGGGTGGCCTGCACGTCCTTGCCGCTAGGGGCGCTGCAGACTTACCTACCACTAGAGTTACTTGTTATACAGAAAGAGAATCTACTTAACATATCGGCATAATATCTAATATGTTAATATAGTCTCACGTATTGAACCCATGTTTCCATCCCGTCTCATTCCACGCACCTTGCCTGAGAGACAGACAGAGTTGAGCGGTCAGTACGAGCAGAACTTCCTCGCACCAGCTATCGGACACCTCCAGGTTTCCATCCGTTGTTCTAGCACCCATCGTCGCTCAGAAAACACGTCATATATGGATCCTCGCCTTGCTGCCCGAGGCTGTGGACGCGAAGCGTGAACCTGTGCGAGCGTCAGTAGCGACCTCTCCCCACGCTAATCGGATCACCATAATTTGCGGCACGAGGCTTTTCACTGATGGCGCCTTCTGTCTCCTACCCACTGCACTTGCGCACTATAGCTTGGCCGCGCGTGCGAGCCGAGCGAGCCGAGGTCAGTAACGACTTCACTGCACACGCTATCGGAGCACGCCAGGTTTCTTCCATCCCGGTCTCTCCCACGGACGACTTGCCTGCGGCGATGCGAGGCGAGCGAGCGGTTCAGTAGCGACTCTCCACGCTATCGACACACGCCATAGTTATATTTTCATCCCGGCCTCTCCCACGCAACGCTCTGCCTGCTCGTGTCGAGCGGTCAGTAGCGACTCTCCGGCTATCGGACAACGCAGTTTCCATCCCGTCTCTCCCACACGCGCACGCTTGCCCTGCGCGTGCGAGCGAGCGAGGCGGTTCAGTAGGCGACTTCACGCTATCGGACACGCCGGTTTTCCATCCGCGTCTGCTCCCCACGCCGACGGTTGCCGGCGCGTGCGGAGCGTGCGAGCGGTGTAGTAGCGAGCTCTCCACGCTATCGGACACCCGGTTTTCCATCCCTCCTCTGCCCCACGCACGCGCTTGGCCTGGGCGGCGTGCGAGCGAGCAGAGCGGTCAGTAGCGACTCTCCCACGCTATCGGACACGCCAGGTTTCCATTCCGTCTCTCCGCCACGACACGCTTGCGTGCGCCGTGGCGAGGCGTGCGAGGCGTCAGTAGCGACTCTCCACGTCTAATGCGGACAGCCCAGTATCGGCTGGCATCGGCGCGCCACAACATTTACCCGCAAACATTAGTCGCGCGGGAGACGCGTCATCTGGTCGCGGAAACTTGTACTAAGCCTTTAATCAAGCGCGCGCGTGACGCGTGCGAGCCGAGGCAGCGGCAGACGAAGCCGTGCGGGAAGATGGCTGCGGAATGGATGGCGCTCCTCGTAGATGTTTATGTGCGCTGTGTGCGTGCGTGGGATGCATGTGGAGGTATATATATATATATATTATATATATATATATTAACATATATATATATATATATAATATATAATATAAGAGCGTGTGATAGCAAGTGAGTTGGGCAGTAGCCTTGTGTGTCGTGCACGCGCGGCGCGGTTGTGTGTGCGGTGCGCGTGCGAAGGCGCGGTGTGTGTGTGGTCCTGAAGAGAGAACGAGCGAGAGAGAGAGAGCGAGAGAGAGAGAGAGAGAGAGAGAGAGAGAGCGCCATAGAGAGAGGGGGAGGGGGAGGATATAAGTTGAGGAAGGTGAGAAGATGTGGAAGGATAGCAAGCGTTGTTGAATCTATGTGATCTAATGTGTTATCATCATAGCTTAGCGCGCTAGTGAATGCGAACAAGGTCGACACGTCCCATCGGTAATGAGGCCACTGTTTCAATATATGTGGCCTTACGTCTTGAAGGCAATCGATTCCAGTAACTAAGTAACCAGTAACTATCCACCAAGTAACCAGTAACTATCCACACATCGGGCGGTGAAGGGGCGGGGGCGTACACTCACCCACTCGTGCGCGTCGACATACAAGCATCATGGTAGATACTGTTTTAGCCCTGCTGCTGTTGAGGGATGAATACGCGGAAATTGCGTTTTTATTGCGCTCCCTCGCCAGTCCCTACTCAGGGAGGATATATAGAATTTGATGACAGGCACACACGTAATTACATTATTTCCGTGCTGTCGTGCATCAGCGGGCATTACAATGATTGTGATTTACCAGGATTACGGTCTGGCAAAGGTAAGGTTCGATAAGGATGTAAGGTGTATGATGGCTTCATGAGAGATAGTTGCTCACGATGTACGGCATACAAAATGAGCTGTATAATTATATGGACTGCTGTGTATGTATATATATATATATATATATATATATATATATATATATATATATATAAATAGCTTTACAATTTGTATGAGGGCAGCGTGCAACGTGCAGAAGCCCATCCCACATATCGTCGCTATGAAAAAGACATAGTAAGTGACACATAAGTGATTCAGGATGGAAGGAACGTCGCATCTACGGAGATTCATGTGGCCATCATTGAGGCGAGGGCCGCTGCTTGGTAAAACACATCGTCGATGTAGGATTTACACCTAACCGCCGGAGTTACAGACGAGAGTAAATTGTCTTCATTTGGCGCCATTGAGGCAGGATGTGGTGCTAAGAAACACAGCAATTGACAGGCGCATAGTTACTACTAGTGGCATAGTTACTACTAGTGGCATAGTTACTACTAGTGGCATAGTTACTACTAGTGGCATAGTTACTACTGGGAGCACATTATTGAGGCACGACGTGGTAGCGATGAAGCCACTGCCAGAGAGATGCATCGCTACTACTGGTAGACATCCTTACGGTAGGTCGCAGCCACAGTCTTTATATACAGACATGACAGAGCGAATTCGGCAAGACACACGTCAACATCATCATCATCATCATCATCATCATCATCCCCACTCACAATTGATTCGAGGAATCGGTTGTATGTGTCGGAAGCGCGTGACTGGAGCACATTAACTTGACATATAATGGTCGGATGCAAATCGTAACCATATCGTAACCAATGCCATTTTGATCATTACCTCCGTCCAACGGAGTTGGAGGAGGTTATGTTTTCGCTCTCGTGTGCGTGTGTTAGTTGTTCGTGTGTTCGCGCGATCGATATTTAGCGCGTCAGCAGCGAGCCACGCGAGCCCAAGCCAGGCCGCACGCGAGCCAGCGAGCGTGTACATGTGAGCGAGCAGCAGCAACGATCGGCTGCTACGAGCCGATCCGGCGAGCAGGAAGCGCCAGCAAGCCTAGCGTGTACATGTCAGCTACGCTGGCGTAATATCGTGGCTTATTCGTGTGTTCGTGAGTCGTATGGCGTATGGCGTATGTCGCTGGCGGAGGTATGCACTCTCCGTGATTGCACTCTGTCTAGTTTTCAATCATGTAATGCATCGTTAGCCTCTAAAGTTTCGTAACTTTGTGCGCGCATTCCCTGACGTACATTTATGCCATAACTGCAGCGTTCATAAACCGAATAATATAAACTTGCGCTGTTATCGCCACTGTTTCAATATATGTGGCCATTTACGTCTGAAAGGCAATCCGATTCCAGTAGACTAAGTAACAGTAACTATCCACCAAGTAACCAGTAACTATCCACACATCGGGCGGTGGAAGGGCGGGCGGCGTACACTCACCACTCGTGCGCGTCGACATACAAGTCATCATTGGTAGATACTGCTTTTAGCCCCTGCTGCTGTTGAGATGAATACGCAGGAAATTGCGTTTATTGCCGCTCCCTCGCCAGTCCTACTCAGGGAGGATATATAGAATTTGGGATGACAGCGCACACACGTAATTACATTTATTTCCGTGCTTTTTTTTTGTCCTGCATCAGCGGGCATTACAATGATTGTGATTTACCAAGGATTACGGTCTGGCAAAGTAAGAGTTCGTAATGGATGTAAGGTGTAGATGGCTCAGAGAGATTAGTTTGCTCACGCATGTTACGCATACAAATGAGCTGTATACATTATATGGACTGCTGCTGTATGTATATATTATATATAATAATATATATATTATATATAATAGCTTTACAATTTGTAATGAGGGCAGCGTGCAACGTGAGAACCCATCCCACATATCGTCGCTATGGAAAAAGACATTAGTAAATGACACATAAGTGATTCAGGATGGAAGGAACGTCGCATCTACGGAGATTCATGTGGCCATCATTGAGGCGGGGGCCGCTGCTTGGTAAAACACATCGTCGATGTAGGATTTACACCTAACCGCCGGAGTTACAGACGAGAATAAAATTGTCTTCATTTGGCGCCATTGAGGCAGGATGTGGTGCTAAGAAACGCAGCAATTGAGAGGCGCATAGTTACTACTAGTGGCATAGTTACTACTAGTGGCATAGTTACTACTAGTGGCATAGTTACTACTAGTAGCATAGTTACTACTAGTGGCATAGTTACTACTGGGAGCACATTATTGAGGCACGATGTGGGGGTAGCGATGAAGCCACTGGCAGAGAGATGCATCGCTACTACTGGTAGACATCCTTACGGTAGGTCGCAGCCACAGTCTTTATATATATAGACATGACAGAGCGAATTCGGCAAGACACACGTCAACATCATCATCATCATCATCATCATCATCACCACTCACAATTGATTCGAGGAATCGGTTGTATGTGTCGGAAGCGCGTGACTGGAGCACATTAACTCTGTATTCATGTACTTCTGATACGGTCGGATGCAAATCGTAACCATATCGTAACCAATGCCATTTTGATCATTACCTCCGCCCAACGGAGTTGGAGGAGGTTATGT